GGGGGGGGGGGCGCCGCCGCCAAGCGGAGGATCCCCCCGAAAAGTCCGGCTATAACAGACGCGGAGGTGCTGGTCCGGCCCACCTTCCGACTGAACCTCAGCCGTGCCACTCACCGCCGGGTGAAGAATGGAGGGAACACCGCGGACTCCTTAACTGTCCCGGAAGAACCAGGCGAGAAAAACCTCTCTAAAGGCAGCTGCGCTTGCTTAGCCTTCAGCCTTGGTCTCCCACCTCTCAAAACACACACTCAGTCGTTTTTGGGAGAACTTTGAACAAATGACCAAATTGTCATTTGTTAGTTACTAGATTAGTTAGTCATCTAGATTAGTTACTAGATGAAAGATCAGAATAGTTTCCTGAGTTTTTAATTTGGGAAATCATTTAGAAATCATTTTTTTTATATCTTTAAGGGGAGAGTCTGAGTTTTATATAAATGTGTGTGTACACACACACACACACAGACAGACAGACAGACATTGGTTATTTGCTGCCAAGACAAGAAGTCAGGTTGCCGCATTCTGAATCCTTAGGAAAACCAAACAATATTAATGCAGAGTTGCCAGGACTTTAAAAATATCCACCATGACTTTTTGACAAATAAATTGCATTGCCTTCAAATTGAAACATTAACCTAGAGCAACAAGTGAACACATAACAAAAAATCTAGGTAAGAGTTTTAGGGACTGAGAAAAAGATTGATTGTAACAGTTTAGGAAAGGTAGATCCAAGTTAGGCAGCCAGATCCAAGGTTCTACCTGCGAGTCTTGTCAGAGGTATTGTCCTATTTTTCTGCTAACCACCTGCTTTCTATAGCGCAATCAAGTTTTTAGTGAGATAATACAAAATGTTTCAGCAGAGTTCCCACATACCTGGCTATTAAAACTCTGAACAGACATTGCAACTCTGTATGATATATTTTTTTTCTGGAAAAGAACACATGAAGCATGTATTTATATATTTTTTTTCCAAAGGAATATGCTGCTCCTTTACAGTATATTATGGAATGGAACAGTATTCAAATATGCCATAGAAATTAATAATGATTACTCTTCCTTAAGGTGGACATAATTAAGAGTATGGTTTTAGCATTCCTTAAAATTTATGTTTTATTTATATTTAATGTTTTTCTGAAATAGTCAAAATATCCTAGAGGGTAGCCTGTGTCTAGGTATATGCAAACACTTTAGGGAAAAGATTCCTTTTGTCTGAACTGAAAATTATTTCAAAATTAATACATCAGACCAGTTACTAATTTAGCCTATAATTAGCAACACTAAGTTTTTTTTTAAAAAAAATTCTTCTGTTTTAAGTTTTCATCGCTTTCAAAATGCCAGATCAGCTCAAAGTATTTTCTATACTTTCTTATATTTAAAAGCAATATAGTAAGTATTGAATATTTGTCTGCACATTAAAGCAATTCTGTTTAACTGGATTTTGTTTTTCTTATTTGGTTATGCATGCATGCTTTGATTCAAATATGAATACTGGGAAGTAGGCAGCTATCTGCATTATTTGTGTTTTTTTTAAATACTAAACCCATAAGTGGGTGCCCCTCATCTATAATCTATCACGTAGATTGGTGGGGGACACAGGCAAATGTGATCAGCTTGCCAAGTTCATTATATTCTGAAATCCTTGAAAGAATTTACATTCATTTGCTTCAAATACACAACATTGTCCTTAGAGAAGATTATAGCTTACAGCTACCAGACTTTATCCATCACTAAAAGAGCTCCTTGTTTTCTTTGGTTATTCCTTACCTTATTTGAGTTATTTCTTTAGGAAAAACTCAAAAATATTATTCTATGTCTGCTGCGCTAAAATGGTTTCTACCAGAGTAGATCAAGGAATGAGGTAGTTAAATTTAGTCTTCAACATGAGCCTACTGGTTTTACAGTTAGGTACAAAGGAAGTCCCACTGATTTCAACTATGACCCTGTGGGATTACTGAAGACCAACTTCAGGAAAGTGGAACGTAGTATCAAAGTTGCTAATCTCATGGAAATATTATAAGCTTTCATCTGGATTAGGTTATGGCCTTGAAAACCATACCTCATCTGAGAAAACATTTGGTGCTATTATTATTTTTGTTATTGTTATTTTTATTCATCCGCCTAAATATTGATAAAATTAGAACTACAAATACATGTTCACAGGGCAGAACACTAAAGACCTGAAGCCCTAAAGCCAATAGCGGGATTTATTTTCTTGAAAAATCATTTGCTTTATTTCCAGAAATATGTAAAAAAAGATTTCTTTTTTTTTTAAAAAAAATGGAAGGTACAATAAAACTTGTCAGTCCTCTTAACAATAATCCTGATAAAGAATATGCATAAAATACAAATTGAAAAGGCAAAAAGCCTTCCATTCATACATACCCCAACGACAATGACCATCGCTTCTATGTAAACATTTTGATCTTTCCGTGCATAAAAAGTACGGAAAAAAAATTAGCTGCAAATGACGATCCCCTCAATATTTTTGCTGGATTCCCATGTCCTCCCACCCACCGCCTCCTCCCTTCCTGGGGGAACCCTGCGAGCTCTGCAACGGAAAGCAAATAAAACTTTTTTTTTTTCTGAAAAGATATTTTAAAGGGGGAAAAAAGGGACGGCGTCTGTTTTCAAAGCAGAAGCCCGAGGACCGTTTCTCTGCCATCTGTCTCTGCAGCATCTAGAAATGGCTTTGCATAAATAGAGGTACGGAGGAAGAAGCAAACCGGAAGGCCAGAGACGAGCGAGGGAAAGGGCGCACAGAGAAACCAACCAGCGAGTCGATCTGTCCGGAAAGGTCTCTCCGCGTCGCTGCTCTCCAAAGCCGAAGGGAGACGTGGCTGGCGGCCCAGGCAGCTAGCAGTTGGAAATCCGGGCCGCGCAGCTTTCCAGGCGGCCCAAGGCCGCCCCGTGGGGGGGCAGAGTTCCCAGAGAGGCGGCGGCGGCGGCGGCGGGAGAGGCCAGCGAGGGCGAAGGCGACGACGAGGCCATCAGAGTTCGTGCCAGGACCGGCAGCCCTGCGGCCTGAGACCCGCAGCGGTTCCCCGCCCCGGGGCTCACACCGCCCCCGATGATGCTCTCAATGGAGAACGGGGAGCGCGCCAAGGCCGAGGTGGTCTTGGTGGCGGCCGCGTGCAAAGAGGCGGCCAGCGACGGGCCCAGTTGGGCCGCGTAGCCGAAACTGGGAGTCCGGGCCAGCTCCGGTGCCGCCGCCGCCGCCGCCGCGGGCAGGAGGGAAGGTGGGGCGGGCGGCAGGACGGGGCCCGACGCCGACGGCCGCCTCTCCTGAGGCTGGAAAGCGAAGAGTGTCGAGGGCGCGTGGTAAGGCTGGAGATGGAGGCCGTAGCCGCAGCTATAAGGCCCGTAGGCGTAGGCGGGGGGCTGGCCGGGGTGCCCAGGCGGCGGCGGGGCGGCCGGCGGGTGAAGGAAGGCGGCGGGTTCGAGCCCGCGGAGGAGCAGGTCGGACGCCGGCAGCGGCTGCCGCTTGAAGCGCTTCCTGCGCCGCAGGAAGCTGCCGTTGTCGAACATGTCGGCGGACTCCGGGTCCAGCGTCCAGTAGTTGCCCTTGCCCGGGTTGCCCGGCTCGCGGGGGATCTTGACGAAGCAGTCGTTGAGCGACAGGTTGTGGCGGATGGAGTTTTGCCAGGCCGGGAACTTCTCGCGGTAGTAGGGGAAGCGGCCGCTGATGAACTCGCAGATCTCGCTCAGCGTCAGCCGCTTCTTGGGGCTCTGCAGGATGGCCATGGTGATGAGCGCGATGTACGAGTAGGGCGGCTTCACCAGGCTGCTCTTGCCGCCGCCGCCCGCCGCCCTGAAGGGCCCCGGCTGCGAGGGGGAGCCGGAGGACGAGGAGGAGGGAGAGGAGGGCGAGCCGGAGCCCGGGGAGCCTGCCGGCGCCCGCCCCCCCGGGGACCTGGGCAGTAAGACGGCCTCGTCGTCGTCGTCGTAGGGCCGTCGGGGAGGGGGCTCCTCCTCGTCGTCCTCGTCCTCGTCGCCGCCCCCCTCGTCCTCTCCCTCCCCGACCACGTCGATGTCTGCCTCTTCGGCCAAGGCGGAGGCGGCGGCGGACATCTCCGCGCTCAGAGTCATCGCTTGGCGCAGCCGGACATGGGCGCAGCGGGCGGGGGGCGGCGGGGCAGCTGCCCGCGGGAGGCGTCGGCCC